GGTTCGAATTCCTTCTACCCTGTGACCTACGAAGAACTACCTACCACTGGCGGTCCTACAGGTAGCAGGTTCAAATCTACGGGTTGACGCCGGTACTGTACACAGGTAAGATGGGGAACTAGGGATAGAGCCCTGGGAACTGCATCAGCTACTGCGAACTGGTGAATACCGTTTCACCATCAGGAAGCTGATGCCTAACAGTCTGCCCAGGATGCAATTGACTGATGGATAAAGACAAACCACATCACCCAGAGTTAGTGATACCCTGAGAAATGTGGTCCACTTTACTCTCACTAACCCTGCAACCATACCAGCCCGTCGGTCTGAACACCTGATGAGAATGGCAGTAAGTCTGAGAAACTACTACACAGCCATAAAACCCACTGGTCCCACTCTACACACCCACTCAGCCATGGATACACACTGGCATCACCGCTAGTGTGATCCCTACCCTGACTGCATTGGTCCACCTGACCAGAGAGCTGAGGAAGGCCGTGTTGTGTCTTGTCATGTTGGGTTTCTTATACAACTCCACGAAAAAAAAACACATGCCAGACTGTTTCGTTGGACTTCGACTGACTCATCAGGATCCTGAGTCCCGACAGTCTGCCCAGGATGCACTTACCTGATGGATGGACTCATCACGCCGCCCGGGGTAAGGGATACCCCTGAGAAAAGTGATCGACTTTACTCGCACCAACCCTGCAATCCTAGCAGTCTAGCAGACTATCCGCCCAAACATCTGGCAACAATGGCAGTATGTCTCAGAAACAGAACTGCTGTGTCACAGCCATAAAATCCACTCTATTACACCCACCCAACCACGGATACACACTGGCATGACTGCTAGTACAGCCCTGACCCTCGCAGCACCCTGCCTGAACAGAGAGCTTACCAAGGCTCTCTTGTGTCTTGTTATGTTCCCTATACTGTATACAGAACTCCACAAAAAAATGAAATTTTCGTCGGCTGGTCCATTGGAGCTCCTACCGGGTAGCGCGCAGACATCTTGGGTCTTCAACGTTCGGCTTCCAGGAACCTTACGCCAACGGTAACCGTTGGTGGCCGTTCGGCCCCTGCGGACGTCGTCGACCAGTGTTCTCCCTCGCAGTGAGTGCCGCCAAATGGAAAGGGGTCGAACGTTCGGCAAATTTGAATACTTCAGCCGACCCCCCTTGCTCCGATCGCCCACCGTATTCCGCGATGAAAAATGTTACAAGGCGTTTGTCCCATGCTGCAGTCTGCCATTTGCAGCCCTCTTCGCCGCTGTTTGCTGGAGGCGTACCGTCGTCGTTTAGCTACTGCCCTTCCCCACTTGCCTTTCGTGGCCGACGTCTTTCGAAGGATGTCGTTGCTGCTCCGGGTCATCCTTTTGCTTGTCCTTGTCGTCTTCTTACACGTTTGCATCCTCGACAGGTTGCCTGGACGTACACGTAAGAGGTGGTCTGCATGAATTTTTTGTCGGTTGGTCCATTGGAGTTCCTACTGGGCAGCGCGCGGACATCTTGGGTCTTCAACGTTCGGCTTCCATGAACCTTACGCCACCGGTAACCGTTGGTGGCCGGCGGGCCCCCGCGGACGTCATCGTCCAGTGTTCTCCCTCGCAGTGCATGCCGTCAAACGGAAAGGGGTCAAACGGTCGGCAAATTTGAATACTTCAGCCGACCCCCTTTGCTCCGATCGCCCACAGTATTCCGTGACGAAAAACTCTACAAGGCGTTTGTCCCATGCTGCGGTCTGTCGTTTGCAGCCCTCTTCGTCGCTGTTTGCTGGAGGTGTACCATCGTCATCTAGCTACTACCCTTCCCCACTTGCCTTTCATGGCTGACGTCTTTCCACGGATGTCGTTGCTGCTCCGGGTCATCCTTTTGCTTGTCATTGTCGTCTTCGTTCATGTCTGCATCTTTGACGGATTGCCTGGACGTACACGTAAGAGGTGGTTTGCGAAGAAGGATGTCAGCATGAACGGGCAACAGACGAAGAGAAGGTGTTCAGTGGACCACTCCAGAAGCCACCGCGCAGGCCACGACACGGTGTCGGGATCGGTGGGTCCCGAGATAAGTCCTGACTTCTGAGAGATGATATACGGTAGAATTGTGCACAGTAGAGAAAACCAGAGGCAAGAGAGAGAGGAAGGTTGAAAGGTCAAGGCATAGAGTGTCGACGCTTAGGGGCCTAGAGAATGCCCTGGGCCGCCGGAGCCACTAGACCAAAAAAGAGACTAGCAGAATAGCAAGCGGCGAAGGGCCGCAGGAAAATAGTAAAGACGACCCTTTTTCCCGAAGGAAGAAGGACCGCTGAGAAAAATAATGCCCTGGGCTGTGTGCCGCAGGAATAAAAGAGCCAAGGAGGTCGAGAAAATAGTAAGTGAGGCACCGACACACGAGAAAGTAGTCTGGGTTGCCAAAGAAAAAGAGAAAAAAAAAAATGAAGAAGATGAAGAACAACAAACAATCCACCTACTTACCAGCAGAAGCCATAATGAAAAAATAATCAATCAATCTGTCAATCAAGCAAATAATCAACCAATCAAGTTCGTGGAGGCATCGAAATCAA